ATATATATATATGAAAAATTGATGTGGGTAGTCAAATGAAAGGTCTTAGTGAGTGTAATGTCGGGGTGAGCTTATATCTTTAAAAATGTCAATAGTTTACAAGATATTTGTTAAAGTGTCCTGTACTTTCTTAACTATTGAGGTTTTTAAAGATATAAGCTCATTCCGATGTTACAATTATCAAGAGCTTTCATTTGAGTACCCACAAGCATTTTGATATTTTTTTCATGTATACATATATATATAAAGATATAAAATATATGAAAAATTGATGTAGGTACTCAAATGAAAGGTCTCTATAAGTGTAACATCGAGATGAGCTTATATCTTTAAAAATGTCAATAGTTCACAAGATACAAGGTCATTTCTTAATTATGTAACTAGAGATAGAGTATTTTCGAATGCAGCCTAAATACTTATTACAATAAATTGACTATCGGTGAGAATTATATAAAATCTTGAAAAGGCACAAATTCAAATCAAGACCTTTGCAATGAAACTAATTTTGACTAAAAAACCGATTTTATCATATGACTATCCCTGACACAAAATTTTTCTTATTCTCTTAATAATATAGATTAAAAAATTTTCAAGTGTCTGCCAATTTCAATATCATCTAAAATTTAGTAATTATTTACAAGTGGGGTCAACTCCATTTTCCCCTATGTTTGGCCATAGAAAAAATTCTTTTAATCAAATTGATCAATTTTTTTTAAATTCTTCGTTTTTTTATGTATGTACTTAACAAAAAAAATATATTAAAAACATCAAAAAAAGAGAAAATAGAAATTTTATTCAAAAACATGAAAGCCACAATTTTTTCCAACTTTTAAAGGCAAAAAAGCTATCGAAATCTTTATTTTTTTCTTTCGCGACATTTTTTATCATAAATGCGCCGTAAAAACAAGCAGAATAAAAAAAAATTTTTTAATGTTAATTTTTTACCTAGTTATGGCCCAAAATGGAGTTGACCCCATTTGTAAATAATTATCAAAAATTTTTACGCTCTTGTGGCTTTATATCACTAAATTTTAAAATTCCTAAACTCAAAACGAGCGTTCATTTTTATAGATACGCCTTTTTGGCTGTATAAATTTTTTTTTCATTTTTAAGGTTTGAATTTGCTTGCAAAGATTGACAAAAAAAATTTTCTACGCCCTTTTGGCTTTAGATTACTAAATTTTGAAGTTCCTAAATCCAAAACTAGCGTAGAATTTTAGACATACGCTTGTTTTGGCTTACAGAATTTTTTTTTTCACTTTTAAGCTTAAAATATTTTTACAAGACATGATTATTGAATTTACATTTTTGGAAATGTAATTTTTATATCATAAAAACTGGCAATGTTACAATGCTAATTGTACATTTTTAAAAAAAGTTATTTTTACATAATAAAAAAATGTAATTTACATGAAAAAATTGCAAAGTTTAGATTAGAAAACTCTTGGCATCCCAAGAGTCTACTTCGTAAAATTTGAAAATTTTTACAGTCGCAGAAGTTTAATAAATTTAATTTCTCATTTGGAAAGTTAGAAATAAAAATATAATTTACAAAAAAAATTATAGACTCGTGAATGATTAATTGCTAATAATAAGTCGGTAGCGTTGTTACTAATATAATAATTACTATATTATTATTATTTATTATATTTAAAAATAACAACATAAATTGATGAATTTTAAAAAATAAATATCGACAGTGTTGTCATTTTTTTATTAGATTTGTTTGTAAGCAAATATTTTATTTTTTATTTTTTTAAGTTTAAATAATAACTCATAAAATTTTGTTTTATTTTTCAGCTGAAATAAGGGAGCTGGAGAAAATAATGAAGTAAACGTAATATGGAACAATTATAGTCAAATTTGTCATTTACCATAACAACAACTTCAACAACAACACCAGATTATTATTTAATGATCTACAGTGATTATTTCGAGTTTTAAACACTCGTATAATTATAATTGTTATTATAAATATGTAAAGTTCACTCGAAAATATATTATAACCTGGTAATTGTATATTACTTTTTTATTTATTTATTTAAGTTCATTTTACCCCTCTTTGGCTCAAGGTTATTATTATTACTTTATGTTGTATTTCAGTCCAAATAACATATCAAAATTTCAAATAAATCGGATAATTAGTTTCTGAGATATCGCAAAAAAATTAACTGCATTGACTGTGAGTGTCAATGCAGTATAATTGACATTTATTTTACAGAAGCGATTTTAAATAAAAATTTGACCCCGTATTACTAACAAACATTACGAAATGCAACATTTATTAAAAGTAGTGCATTGATTGTGAACGTCAATACAGTTCAGAATCGACATTTATCGTACGCGGACACTTTCAATTCAAATTATAATACAATATTACTAACAAAAGTTACTAACTGAAATTTATTAAGACTTGCATTGATTTTGAGGATCAATGCGGTCTAAAAATGCAATTTCTTACACAAAGACAATTTTAATTGAAATGTTTACGCAAATTACTAATAAAATCTATCAATTAAAACATTTATTAGAGCATTACATTGATTATGGTCGTCAATGCACTATAGAAACGTCATTTCTAATACAAAGACACTTTTAACTAAAATTCCGGCCTTATATTACTAATAAAATCTACTAACTAAAACATTCACTGAAAATATTGCATTGATTTTGAGTGTAAATGCAATACAAGCGTGACAATAATTGTTTACAGACACTTTTAATTAAATTTCGAACGGAATATCACTCACAACGTACAAATTCCACCTTGTTCAATAAGTATTACATTGATTATGAATGACAATGCAGTCAAAAACTTATTTCTTGTGCAAAAAAAACTAAAATTCTAACAAAATATTCTTACTTTTAACAGTAATTACAAAATAAGATTAATTAATTTCATTGCATTGACTTCGAGCGTCAATGCAGTCTGAAGCTCAATTTCCTCCCCTAAAAACACTTAAAATTTTAGTAGTACCGCAAAATTTCTAACAGATTTCATAAATTAATCCATTCACACAAGGATACATTGACTTCGAGTGTCAATGCAGTCTAAAATTGTCATTTATTACTCAAAGAAAAACTTCTAATTAAAATTCAAATATAGGATTACTATCAAATACTACTCATTAAGGGATTTACTGAAAAACGCATTGATTTTGAGTGTCAATGCAGTCTAAAAAATCTCAATTTCTTTATAGGAATACGTAATAAAAATTCCTGTCCAGCATTTTTAACAAAAAACAATTAACTCAATGCAATAGTATTAATAATTCATATTAATTATTTTTTGTTGAAAATGAATTATTAATACTATTGTATTCATTTTGAGTGTCAATGCAGTTTAAAACTCAATTTCTCCCCATAAAAACACTTGAAATTAACACGGAAAAAAGTAAACTGTAATAAATAACAGTCGATTTATAATAAGTAATGATCAACTGCTAAAAATTACCATTTCAAACAGTAAAATCGTGATTTTACGATTCACTTTATAATATTTACCATTTAAACGTTACAATTTACTCTTTACATGGAAGAAAATACTATTTCAAACAGTAATATTTGCTATGTAAATGTCTAAAATGTTAAAATATAATAATTAAGAATTCAGACTCTGATATTTATCATTTGGTACCTAAAAAATGATCTTATGATATGTAAAAAGTATAAAATAAAGTTAGTAAATTTCTGATACAAACAACGTCAATATTTACAAAGTAAAATAGTAAATTTTAAACGCAACGCTAAAAATCAAACTGTAATTATTGACTTGCTTGGACTGGTAAAATGTATATTTTAAAAGTATAATTTTTACTGTTTCAAATGTTAAATTCTCCTTGAGTGAGATCCCCTTCTCTTTCATCTGAGTTCCCCTTCTCCTCATAATATGGACTATAGATTGAAATGGCAATTTTTACTGTTTGAAACTGTAATTTTTTAAGATGA